GGCCAGTGAGTTCGGCAGTCAGTCTGCGGTCTATGAGTCATTCAATCTGCCAAGCCTTCATCTAAAACTCAACTCAAACATCCGAACCCCTGGTTGGAACGTCTATCACAGCTTTCGTGCTGCGTTGCTAGAGTCCGAATGCATTTTGGGAAGACAGACTTTTTAGGCTGCAGCTAAAGCGAATATCTTTGTGTCCACATTCCGATCCATGCTGTGTAGCAATTACTTATTGTACACGATTGAGAAGTTGGCACAGTTGGCAGTAAGAATTTCCTTGAAGGATTATCCCAGTAGTACCCGCACGAGGCGGGGCGGAAGTTGCCTTAAAGATATATATCAGACCTTTCTCATCTATAGAACTTGCATGCGCCGTCCAAGCCCGTGCGCACTCTGCGAAAGTGGTGTCCTGTTGCACATGTCACATTTGAAGCTCCACTTCGCACTTCACACTTCTCACTGCAGTCTTCACACTACACACTGCACTCTTCACACTGCACCCTTGGCAGTCAACACTTCACACTCCACACTTCACACTTCTCACTTCTCACTGCTTCCTTCACACTCCAAATTTCACACTTCACACTCCACACTTCACACTTCACACTGCACTCTTCGCACTGCAAACTTCACACTTCACACTTCACACTTCAAAGTCCACACTTCTCACTTCTCACTTCTCACTGCTTCCTTCACACTCCAAACTTCACACTTCACACTGCACTCTTCACGCCCCACACTTCACACTGCACTCTTCACACTCCACACTTCATCTTATCCCAGCTCATCTCTTCTCACCTTATTCCGGGTCTTTTCTTCTCATAGAGAAAATAGAGAAAATTTGCTAACAAATTAACAAATCCATTTCGCAGCCTTCATGCAGCCACTCCAATACGATTTACGAGATCCAGCTGCAAAAGACAATAGTATTACGCATGCAGCCACAGCACGAAGCAACCTTGACGCAGCCATTCCAATGCGATCTACAATGACTGAGCTGCAACACACAATAGAACTACGCGCAACGACGTCGGAAACTGCAGCTCCAAAACCGGATCTCGACGCCAAAGCGAAAAAAGGACGATTTTGAAGCACTTTTTAAAAGGATTTTTAAAAGGAAAATCACTAGCGCCAAAATGGCGAAAATCTGTTAACAAATCCATTTCGCAGCCTTCATGCAGCCACTCCAATACGATTTACGAGATCCAGCTGCAAAAGACAATAGTATTACGCACAGCACGAAGCAACCTTGACGCAGCCATTACAATGCGATCTACAGTGACTCAGTTGCAAAACACAATAGAACTACGCGCAACGGCGTCGGAAACTGCAGCTCCAACCAGCTTAGGTTGAGAGGCCTCATAGGACCCCAAACCCAAAGTGTCGCTTAGGACCCCCAAGCGGCCACATAGGACCCTTGGCTTGGTTGAGGTATCACCTGGTTTAGCTATGCATCATATTTCGTACCCACGGTCAACCATGCCACCCTGCATCCCCCAAGATCCTTTCAAAAAACAATGTGGAAACCCAATAATCCATCAGCAAACACATCTATACCATGCATGACCGCGGAGAAATGCTACTGTGCAAACATATTAAAGCAGGGAAAACGAGGATTAGGCAAAGTTGGCGCCTTTGGATAATTCCCGTGCTTTTAATCTTGCTTTGCCCGGGTTTTTCTGACTTCAGCGAGCATATAGTATATCATTTGAATCGTCTCAAAGCCCGTTGCAAACGCAAAGCTCAGCAACGAACATGCCGTTCGCAATTTGTATTGATTAGGAGCGCGTTTCGTCCGAAGGTTTTGTGTCTCAACATATACATATATGTTGATATAGCCAACAAAAACTTGTGCTACTTGACTTGGCAGGGGGGACCCTTGACCGAGGGGAAAAGAAGCCATGCGGTCGCTTCCTTGCTCCTCTTTGATGTTTTGGGAACAATAAGACATGGCCTAAGTGCAAATTTGATTTCGCGCTTATTGTTGTCAGATCTAAAAGTTATTTCAATCGGCGGGCAATGAGCAAATTCAGGTTGTTAGCCTTGGCCTTTGTCTTCCTGCAGGGCGCTTCTAGGTCCTTACGTTAAAATAGTCATCTCCGCGATGCGTCAAAACACGGCGGTATCACACGCCACGACATGCCGCGCCATGACGTGCCATGACACGACATGCCACGACACGCCACGACACGCACGACACGCCACGACATGCCACGACACGCTGCGACACGCCACGACACGCACGACACGACACGCCACGACACGCACGACACGCACGACACGCCACGACACGCCGGCGCGACACGCCACGACCCGCCACGACACGCCGGCGCGACACGCCACGACACGCTGCGACACGCCACGACACGCCGGCGGGACACGCGACGACACGCCGGCGCGACACGCTACGACACGCCAGGACACGCCACGACACGCCACGACACGACATTCTGCGACACGAATTGGCATGTTGCAGCACTATAGCTGTACAGGGTTTTTTAATGTACGGCATGCCGCGTCGTGCAAGGACGCATGCACCAAATATTTCTTAGAATTCTTGGGGTATATCTCGGCAGGGGATAGATTGACCAAAAAAAAGCAGGGACGCATGATTACGCATCAATCCAGCTAAGGGTGTCAGCTCTTAATTATGTTTAATTATAAGAGGGAGAATTTAGCGTTGCAGTGCCGTGTTATTTTGTAGTTTCGGCTGTAGGAAAGTATAGTTCACCCCAAGTATATACCCATCTGTGGGAAGTCGCGGGCGATATTTAGACTCACCGGGGCATTGCTTGTCGTCATGCGGCGTGTCATATCGCAGGCGTGATTATTTTTCAAAAAAAAATACGCCCGGAAGTGCGCGTGTCAAAGCGTGTCGTAGCGTGTCAAAGGACACATGGGACCCCCAAAGCGCGTGTCATAGCGTGTCGTGGCGTGTCGTGGCCGCGCTCCTTTTTTTCTTCTCTTCCATTTGTTACTTCCTTTCTTTCGCATAAACTCTTATGTCCTGATCGTTCAGTGCTTCCTTCCGTTTCAACGCTTCCTTTCTATTTGTTGCGTCTGTGCCTTCGTATCAACTCTTTGTCTTGCTCGTTTAGCTCTCTCTTCCTTTCTATTCGTTGCGTCTGCGCCTACGTCTTTCTTTCGTTTCAATTCTTCCCTTCCATTTATTACTTCCTTTCTTTCGCATAAACTCTTATGTCCTGATCGTTCAGTGTTTCCTTCCGTTTCAACTCTTCCTTTCTATTTGTTGCGTCTGTGCCTTCGTATCAACTCCTTTGTCTTGCTCGTTTAGCTCTCTCTTCCTTTCTATTCGTTGCGTCTGCGCCTACGTCTTTCTTTCGTTTCAATTCTTCCCTTCCATTTGTTACTTCCTTTCTTTCGCATAAACTCTTATGTCCTGATCGTTCAGTGTTTCCTTCCGTTTCAACTCTTCCTTTCTATTCGTTGCGTTTGTGCCTTCGTATCAACTCTTTTGTCTTGCTCGTTTAGCTCTTCCTTTCCTTTCAATTCGTCCATTTCGTTGCATCCATCCTTTCGTTTAAACTCTTCCTTCCTATTTGTTATTTCTTTCCTTTCGTTTCAACTCCCACCTCACGTTTCAAAGAAAACTTGAAAAAATCCAGTTCGCGAGAAAAGCATTTTTTTTCAAGTTTTCAAGGGTGGGGCCATTCGGGCTGGTATTTGCCGTCCAAGCAGCCACTTGCGGCCACTTGCGGCCACTTGCGGCCACTTGCCCCAGCGGCCACTTGCGGCCACTTGCGGCCACTTGCGGCCACTTGCGGCCACTTGCGGCCACTTGCGGCCACTTGCGGCCACTTGCGGCCAAGTGGCTGCAAGTGGCTGCAAGTGGCTGCAAGTGGCTGCAAGTGGCTGCAAGTGGCTGCAAGTGGTTGCAAGTGGCTGCAAGTGGCTGCAAGTGGTTGCAAGTGGCTACAAATGATGCACGTGACGCTGCTTTGTGGCCACTCGCTGGGAGCGGCCACTTGCGGCCACTTGCGGCCACTTGCCCTAGCGGCCACTTGCGGCCACTTGCGGCCACTCGAGTGGCTGCAAGTGGCTGCTTTTTTGAATTTCAAATACCGCTGGTTTTGCAACCTCAATGTTTACTTCTCAACAGATTACCATTTGATTCTTGGACAATACCCTGAGAAAAATCACGTTGCAAAATGATCCAACCTTTCATCCAGCGGGACACACCGCGTTGCTGTCCTTAGACGACTTCTTGTTTGCTGTCGGCATCGCACATGGAGCGGTCGGTTGCTGTTCGTTCACCAAGGATGCTGCAGAATTGCGTTCAAAGCCGATGACCAACCCCTAAACAAGAAATAAAGGGTGCAAGAGGTGGAAATCTCGACTTGACACAGCCAGTTGACTGAAGAGTGTTTTTGTTTACTCTAATCTTTGAAAATCGGAGCTAGCTAAGTTCTCTACTGCACATCAAGGCCGGTAGACTGGTCATGGTGATGTTTTTAATCTGGTGCAGTCTATTTTCAAGGATCACTTGACCACTTTGATCATTGCTGAAACTGCGGAATCAAAGTAGGAAGGGTTTGTCCATGGCATTGGTCTTGCGAATATTCACCAAAATACCTTCAGGACCAGGGGACACGGGCCGACTAGAAACACCTAGCCCTGCTGCTTTTCACGAACTTGTCAACAGGCCCAAGTGGGAAAGTGCTGTCAACATCTCCGTTGGGAGAGTGGCATGTGGCTATAAACAATCTGGGGCTGGGGGGCTTTCTTAGGCCCATGGATATGCACTGCATCCGTTGGAGCTGCTGTAATTATTGGGTTTCCTGAAAAAATGGGTTGTGACGTTCAAATACTCGTCCTGTTATGTGTATATATATATATACACATGTATGTATGTATGTATGTATGTATGTATGTATGTATGTATGTATGTATGCATGCATGTATGTATGTATGTATGTATGTATGCATGGATGTATGTATGTATGTATGTATGTATATATATATATGTATATACATTATTCATCTCCAAATCTTGCGTTGGCAAGTTCAGGTGCATATCCTTTGGCCAACTTCAATTTCCTGACATTGACTGACGGATCTAGATTCGGATCTTCAGCACGGGTCTTTGCTCCATCACTTTGCGAAGGGCAGCTTTACCAACGTCGCTGAAACCTGGCTGGGATGCTACAACTTCGGAGTATGTTTGATTCAACATCTTCCCATCTCAAAGACTTCAACATCGTGCCACCTTCTAAGATTCTTTCGTTAAAAAGTCATGCCAAAATATCGCCAAGGTACGGTTCTCACTCAGACTGAGCTGCTCCAATCGATCCGCAGCTGGGCTCATGAGAGCCTCTGCCAATGCATCTGCATCTGCATCTTGGAGAGAGCACGACTCCATCTGAATGTCCACTGCACCGGAGGTCACCATTGCCACTGCATCTTGCCCCTTCAGGGCGTTGCCATTGACGACGATGTATTCCAGCTGGCTGTAGTGTGGCAAGGCCTCATGTAGACATTCCAGATCATCTGCAGATAGTTGCTGGAGCTGCAAGTGTGTTGTCTTGGAGACTTTGTCTCTGAAGACTTTCTCCTGCAGTGCAAACACCTGCTCGGCATCATTTCGATGCGTGAAGCGCATCTGCCGCATGCGTCTCCTGAAGATTTCTGGTGGTGTCGGAATGGCACCTCCCTGCACATCCATACGCAGGCGGGACCATTCTGATTCGCTCTGGCACCAACCTCGAAGCTCATAGGGGGTGTTGTTCAGCCTCAGCTCGCAGATTGGTGTCAGTTTCACCTGGTCTTCCGTCGCGTTGTACACCAAAATCTCGCCCTCGAACTTCTTGTCCTCAGGTGTGAGTTCAGTGAGGATGTCTACCTGCACAATCTCATGACTGTACAGCCAGTGCATCCGCTTGAGCCCCTTCCTGAAGAACTCATCTTCTTCAGCAGATCTCTTGTACTGATACAGCGACATGAAGTCCACGAAGACCCACGTCACGGAATCCTTGGGTAATTCTCGGTACCTCTCCACAATGCTGCGGACCTGGAATCCCCAGGGATCCGGATGCTCCATCGCCTCCCACATGTGGGAGATTGATCGGAATCGCACTGTGGAGGGGCCCTCAGCCGTGCGGATTGTGACGTGTCCTCACAGGGCGGACACTATGTAGTGCAAAACAAGTATAAATCTGATGATTACAGTAAAATTCAATCATATGTGTCCCAAAATCTAGCACAACATCCATCGATCTACAACAATGTTTGCCATCTTGAGACCGTAAAGTCATTTGAAATCATCTGTGTTCTTTTTTGGGTACATCTGGATGTTTCAGGGACTTAGCCAGCCTGATGTTTGATTCACGTGCAACTCTTTGTACTCGCCAAGCTCCACCAGTGCAGTTCCTCCACTCCGTGTGCGCATGGACTCCGCCTCTTGTCGGCGAGGCATGGGGGTCCCAGTCTCATCCAGCTCGATCAAAAACTCGGCACGGACGAGCCGAATGTTCGCCGAGATCAGGAACTCGATGAAGTCGTTGGGATTTTGCAAATCGCCTGGCAGCATGGTGGACCATGACTGCGAGATCCATGAATTTCATCCTGGTTCAGCCAATGCGATACTGGAATACCCGTTGACTACTCGACTGATATGTATAGATTACACCATATCGACATCGACTTTGTCTCTCAGACATCCACATTAATCCACCCAGCCACAACTACGACCCTAGTGTAACATGAGGATCCCCTCATCACGCCATCTTTCCGGCCTTCATCACTTGGCAGCTGCTTCTCCTGTGGGATCAACACTTGCGGTCTGACTTGGTTGGATCCATGGGCGTTTTTTTCCGAATCCTGAAGTTCGCCGGAAATCACCGTTCAAGAAATATCAATCATTCAATCTATATCAGATTATCAATCTAAATATATATATATATACGTCAGATTCTATCGGAATGTGTGGAGAGTGGCAGAATGTGCTGGGCAAATCTTCCGCCCTCCGCGGAGCCATGGCGCCTCGACATCACCCACTGGCGCCTGGGAGCACCAACAATTTCTGTAGGGAAAGACAGAGATCAGCAAAGGATGCTATCATATCTATTTGGTAGTTTCAACCCCCTGAAAAATATGAAAGTCAGATTGGATCATCATTATCATCCCCAATCTGGTTGGGGAAAATAATCCAAATGTTCCAAACCACCAAGCAGATATACTATAAACATCTATAAACGATAAACCCGTTTTAGATCTTAAATATATGTTTAAATCATGTAACAAAAAAAGAGCTTCAAGCCGGATCGAGTGAGTGGAACTAAGCACTGATCTGGCTTGGGAGGCTCTGAGCCTCTGGGCTTAGAGATTTCAATCTGCTACAATTTGTTGCTGTTTTTGCAGCCACTCATGTACAGTGTACAGTAAAATAGATTTTAGCGTTTCCTTTCTGTAAAACCAGTTCCAATTCGAATCTTCACATGCCAAACGGGTGAGTCACATCACTCTTGCAGGCTGAGGTGCTATGACTGCGGTCAACGTATGTCCAGGCAAAACATTAGCTTCTTTCAGAGTCTTTGCTTCGTTCCTGATGGATGGACCAAGCTGCAATGCGTTCGCTTGAGAAGTTGACTCGTAGAAATCTATGGCAACTGCGTTGCAAGGATGAGCGTAAGCACATTGAAAGCCATTACAAAATCAATACATCTATATAAAGAGTGCAACGATGCCTGCTGCAGAATGAGCATCACAAGATTTGACATTCGTTTCTGGTGTCGAGTCCAATATGCGGACATTTGCATAGTGTAGCTGCTTCTGCTGTCGGTTCCGTGGCGTCTTTTTTGGCATCAACAGCTGCGCCTTCTTTCGAAGAACTGTTCAACACCTTTCCGATTCCCTTCGATAGATTTACCATGCCATGCCGATAGAACCTTCAAAACCCACTGACACGTGACTTGTTGGGGCTCCAAGATTTCCTTTCTCAACGACCCTGGTTCCATTCAACGTCTTGAGCTTTAGCGTCGAGTGACAGATTTGAAATGATTTTAACAAAACACCATGGAGGTCCCATCCTCAGAGGCAAAGACGGCATTTTCTTAACAACCTACAAGACCATCACATACCCTCACCCAACACAACGCCAACCAGTTTCAGACTTCAGCGCCAGATTCGTGGAGAAAAATTGCCCTGCATCCATTTGGGGGTTTCAAAGGTTCCATATATGGGGGTACCCCAAAATCGTTTGTTTATAATCTAAAGAAACAATGAAAATGGATGATTTGGGGGTATGTATCTCATTTTAGGAAACCTCCATTTGTCGCATCAAGTTCGGTGCCAAGCGAGTCAAGCGACAGTGGCATCATATCGGCGCCAATGAGGTGCTGGATGGCGGAGCCCAACTTCTTCCTCGGAGCCGCAAGACTAGCCCGGCTTTTTTGAGCCACACAGCAACCGCAAGCCCATTGAAACCCAACAATCAATGCTGTTGGGATTTGACAGAAAAAACTACCCGGGGTAAGTTAATAGAACATTCATCGACCCACTTATTCGATGAATGGATTAGAGCAAAATGCAAGAACCACAAATGTTATCACACCAACTCAGAACAGGGTAGCACAAACACTTGGCCCAAGATAGCTTGATATGGCTTGGAATCAAGCCAAGTTGCTCTGCTTCTTCCTTCAATTCCTGCACCGTCTCATGAGAAGAACTGCCTGAGTCTCCAAGTTGGTTGTATGCCCATGTGCAATCTGGACAGCCACTCATCAACCGCTCAGGAGCAAGATCTGATGTCTTCACACAAAAATGGTTGGGAGATGATGGACAATGTTGAAAGATGTTGGAAGCAGGTGCAAACAATATGTGTCTGGACCCAACAAACAGCTGGAATTTCTTGTGTTGTCATTGCAGCATCATAGATATCATAGATGTGGAGCGAAAGTCTCGAATGCACAATAGGCCTTCTCGGCAGCTCCCGTCAGTCTTACAGTCTCCACAAGCTGTGCTAATTAAAAGTTCAATGAATTCTGCTCACATCAGCATCATGGTTTAATGTATCAAGACGTATCAAGGCTTTTGATTCTCTTCCCACTTCATATGGCTTCAGAGCCGAGGTGCATCTGCAGCTTCGGCCACTGATCAAGGCCACATAGACCTCACAGGCAATGACAATGTCATGGGGTTTTGGATTGAAAATTGAAAGTCTAGCACATGCAACCTTCGCACCACCAAAAGGTTTGCAATTACTTTCGAACATTTGAGAACAAGAAGTGAACCACATACCAGTATAAAATTATATAAAATTGACCATCCATTTTACCGGTTAGCCGGTTAGTGCCAAGATGAGCCAAGGTTCATCCCAGTTCGATCTTCCAATGCCAAGGAACCGGATCCAGCACACCCATCACCTCCCGGTGGCCCCGTTCTTTGGCGATGTCGTACGCTGTCCGGCCGCGTCTGTCCGCATCCACGGCCGCGCCCGCGGCGATGAGCCGCTCCGCGGTCGCTGCGCGGCCGTTGAGCGCCGCGTGGTGCAGCGGTGTCTGACCTCCGCAGTGTGGGCTACGTTTAACGTCAGAATCGGCATCTCTCTCGAAAACTGAAAATCTGTGAAAGAGGGTGCAAAAACCATATCAGATGTGAGCTCTGGGTTGCAAGACCATCCTGAAAGATTCTCAAGATTCTCAATTTCACACGCATCGTACCTGCGGCATAAACTACCAACTACGTGACAGATGGAAAAGACACCGAAGACCACGCTGCAAACAAAACACGTTTCCTTCACTGCGTGAGTCTCCACATGTCTCCACTTCCCCACCACTCACCCCACTCCGCCGTGAACTTCGAGGGCCAGGGGGCCGCTGTTGGCTGCGGCATTCACGGCAGCGCCCGCAGCGATGAGCCGCTCCACGACAGCGACGTGACCTCTGAGTGCCGCAATGTGCAAAGGTGTCGCACCTCAGCAGCAGCGAGCCGGATCAAGCGCACTATCGTTGGTGATGTTTGTGAAGATCACCAAGACTACCAACTGATCTGAAAATCTGAAGAGGCAAAACCAAAACAGGATATGCAATGGATATGCTCTGATAACCTTGTATCGTTTTTTTCACACCCATAAAGGAAAAGAAAAAATGTGCAGGATCACCTCTCTGGGATTTTGGATCCTGGTAGGGACAACTTGATGTGCCTAAAGTCCTTTGAAGTATTTTGAAGTATCCGATATTCACCCCTTGGATCTCACCTGCTATGTATAGAGGTCCATACTCAAATCTCATCCACACTTTGACTTGCCAGCAACACAAGCTCGCTCCCAGCTTTTGTGGAGTCTGACTTCTCAACATGGTAGTGAAGTGCACTGAAGATTCCTGAAATGAATCAATGAACTTACCAAAGAAACCAATGAACTGTCCTCCTGGACACTTCACCCATTACGGTGCTGTCCACAATGTCCTTCCAATTCTGTCTCTGTGAGGCCACGCCGGATTCGTTCTGCGCCGCCACGGAGGCACCGGAGGCCAGCAGCGCCTCGATCACCTCCAGGTGGCCGTCGAAGGCCGCTGCGGCCAGCGGCCCGTTGCCTCAGCACCGACGGGACATCGCCTGTCTAAGCCTCAACTGGGTGTCACAAGATGTCACAAGATGTCACAAGTCAACCACGTCCACAATAATTGAAGAATCCCTAAAGCTAATAGTTCCAAAGATGTGGTGCCCGAAATCCTCAGACAGCTCAAAACCAAACTGCAGATGTGACAGGTTCTTGTCGCCAGAAATTGATGAAACATGTATAAACTTGCGACTTACCAGCTCAAGCTTGTAACATCTTGTAACTTGCAGCTTGATAGTCGGCTTTTCAACATGGAACCGCAGTCGACTCCTGAAAGGAGTTTGTCAGCCTCGCAGCAAACGAATCTCCCCAGTTCCGGGGCTGCGACCGGATTCGTTCTGCGCCTCCACGGAGGCGCCGGCGGCCAGCAGTGCCTCGACCACCTCCAGGTGGCCTTCGAAGGCTGCCGCGGCCAGTGGCCCGTTGCCTCGGCCGGTGCTACGCTCAAAGTCATAGGGTGATCATGTTCCAACTGGAACACCTACCAATGATATCAGCAATGTGACATATGTCTATCACCACCCCACGAAATCTTAATGTTTTGCGTTGTGCAGTTGTGCACCTACAAATATTCTACAATCATTTACGATCAGATTTTGAGGACTTTCTGAGGCTTCAACCAAGTTCTTCGTCGACCTTCTCCAAACTCTCAGGCTCCAGTCGCAGCAAGCGTCGGACAGCTCCGACGTTGCCTTCTTTCGCAGCCTGGAGGATGTCGCTGCCTCAGAACTGCGGACCATTCACTGGATATCTGGCTGTGGAGGACCATTCAGGTGCCGGTTTTGTGCTCAAAAAATGTAAAGTCTACATGTTGCATGTCCAAATTTGGTTTAATTGTACATGGGAAACCTCTGGAGTTTGCCACCGCACTTTTTCGACTACTCACAAAGGATCGTCATGCACAATGGCAGCTCTGAGAGTTCAAAAGCATTTAAAACGCATGTTTCAAAGCCCAATGTCATCAGGGCATGGATCCTTAAGCCTGAACATGTGCGGAAACATATCGTGGAATCCTCGAGTCTGAGATCTCAGCAATTCTCCATTTCAGCTTCATCTGCCTGGAAAGCCAGGCATGACATCGACACGAACCAGAACCGCCGCGAATAAAGATGTGGCAGAAAGGTTTGCAGAAATACGTTTATTGGGTTGGTCCTTCGGAAATTGGATACCCATCTGATGCTGATCTGGCCAAACACAACAGAAATTCTCTAGCGAAACTGCAAGGCCAAACCATGATGTGATGCAGCATCAATCAAAAAGAGTGTAAGAAAACTGGTTCCACGATCAAAAAAAGGTCTAACTGGTTGATCAAATGTGTGGACATGTGTGGACCCTGACACTTCACATCTCAGCACATAGCAAGTCAAGTGGAATGCTGGAAAATTAAATGAATCTATTACCGCAACAACATCTCCTTGTGAATAACTCTCGACTTTGTCAAACTTACACTAGTCCCCAATGGAAAAGCTTCACCCACTTCGCCAGTCCTCCGCTTCAACCTCGGAACCTCAGGACAAAAGAGAAGTTTTCGTGGCGAGTATGGTCAAAAGCCAAGTTGTTCATCTATATATCTGTACCATCCTGTACCCATTTACCAGCATCTTGGAAGAACCTGCAACCTGCATCTGTCGACCATCAACCATCATCAACAATCATCTATGCTTAAATCACACTCTTGACTCTTGACTCTTGACCATCATCACCCGCAAAAGCTGTCTTCGACATGCAACCCCTATGGGATCACTGTCGGATATGATGTGGTCCCCTGTCATGCGACGCATCCGGTGAGTGAAGTCCAACTTCTTTTTGGGTGGTGTTGGGTTGATTGCCACATTCCCTCTGACAATGTTGATTATCATCAACTATTATCAATGGGACAACTATTATGATTATTGATTATTATTATTATCATCATCATCATCATCACTATTATGGTGTTCTTCCTTTGAAAAATGGATCTGAGCCATCCCAGAGCGCCAAGTGACCGCCATCCGGCAAAATGTTGAGTTCCGTCTGGACATGCCTTTTTTTCAAACGATGATGAAGAACCGAGAGGCTTCAAATACCAAGAAGTATGAAAGGTATCAACCTACCATCCTGCTTTGTGATTTCCACATCAATTTTTCCTTGGCAGTTTGGGCGCAACTTCGGCATGGAATACTTCTGGCAAGATGCGATGCTGGTGCAAAGATCCAGCGGAGGAAGTGCGAGTAGGGAACTCGTTGATCTCTAAACATCTCCTTAAAATTGACATGACAGCCCATCCACCATCTTCAATTGACTTCCTTGCCATCTATCAATATGTTCGGCAAAAATCAAAAACCTCATGTCTGCGTGCAACAGAGAATAATCCCAACGGAACTTCAAAATCATAAGCAGTGACGAGCTGAACCGGACCTGTGAATACTGCCAAACCAAGCATCCACAGTTTGAAGCAAGGCTAACCTTGGCAAATAAAACGTCAATTTTTTGCAAATGAGTGGCAACGTTTGTGGTGCGTTTCAGCCCTTTGGCACGGAAGGTGTCTTATTCTTTGCCAAAAGGACAGGGTGAACTTTGCCAGGCAGCTCTCGATCCGAAATTCCAAGGCCAGTGAGAACGGACATCAGCTCCTCCTTTCGGAGTGTTCCACTTCCTCAATGGCCGAGTCATCACAGCAACGACACTAAGCCAGGAGCATGTCGCATCATGCGCACAGTTGGTGCGCAGCGTTGCAGCTGAGAGTCCAGTGGGATCCAATCGCTGGAAATTTTTTTCGAGACCAGCATGGTCTGCCTGGTGCACCAAGTGGCCCTTCGGGGACGAACCTTTCATCTCTTTTGAACAAGGCTCAGGAAGTCGGCATGAAATCAGTATCATTTCTGGTTTCGAAATTCTTACAAACGTGCTCTCCTCCAAACTGGGGACTCAAACACAGACTTGTGACTTGTGACATTGCCGCTGGTGCAAGAAAGTTCTGCTATACATGGAATGTTTTGCTGCAGTCACGGAGCCTCACATGCTGACCCCATGTTTGATTTCTGGAGAACCTTTCGGTAGTTTTGTTCAACTCAAAAGCTCAAAGTATGCGTCTCCCAGCAGTTTCAAAGACAGCACATGCGAAAAATCCCCCAACACAAGCCCATATATCATACAAAACGGAGAAAATGTCAGCCCCACCGGTGAAACAAACCATGTTCGACATCACCTTGGCTGAAGGAGTCGATCTTTGAGCCGCCTGCAGCTTGCAAGGAACCCAACCACTGCAGATTTTGGCCTAATCACTGGTCCTCCCCAATCTGTACGATAATGTGGCGAAACTAATGGGAAGAAGTGTAGTGTATTTTTTGTCCTGCGGAACGAACAAATGTAGCCAACTTATATCAATTTACTCAATTTACCTATTCACCACAGGCCCCTCAGTTAATTGCTGTCCCTCCCTGTCGGCATCACTGGGATGTCCAGCGAAGGTGGTTTCGCCATCGCTTGAAGCCATGATAGGAACTCCCAACAGGACCGAACCCAAGGGATTCTGATTTTTTTTGCCAAAATTGTCCACTGCTGAGTAAAAGAGTTGATGAAATTTTGAAGGTCTGGCAATCTGTTGGTTTTAAGCCATGTTGACCGTGAATTTCATGGTGATTATGTTAGGATCTGGAAGAATGTTGGTTGTGCACAACCCGTTTTCCGCATATGAAGGGGACCCACACATTCCGTCGTCGTCTGAAGTCATCCATAACTGTTTTTTTCTTACCTATGGATATTCCTGGGTCATTCGGGAAAAAAGGGCACTAAGATCCAAAATTACTGTTTTTTTGCAATTTTATCTAGTTCATTCAAAACAAAATGTTTCGAGCCCCAGCTGCTTCGAATTTGAAACCAAGGATGGTTTTCCATCAATGGCAAACCTCGCGTACCGTGATTAGCCCATTATATAGCATGTGTTCCTGAAATTTCCTGCCGGGTTTTTTCCCAAAGAACTGCTGCCAACACACATCACCTCATCATCAACAACATCAACAACATCTACATCACCGACATCATCATCTAGATCATCTACATCATCTACATTACTAAGAAAGCCGGTACGGTCTAGTGAGTCTAGTGGATACGACGCATCCCTCATGTGTCAGACCCGGGTTCAATACCCGGGTGCAACATTAGGCGGACACGTGGGCCGCTACCCCGCCCCTGCAGTTAAGGGGATGAGCTAGGGTGTGGTCCGTAAAAAACACTCTCATCTACATCACTAACATCACATACATCATCTACATCACCTACATCATCTAAATCATCTACATCACCTACATCGAATGCATAATTTTCATCATCCAAATTTCCAATATCATTTGCATCACCTGCAAAATTTACATCACGTACATCAAAGAACGTCGTCATCATCATCATCATCACCACCACCACCACCATCATCATCATCATCGTCATCAATATCGCTCACATCATCTACGTCGTTTACAAGTCATCAACCTTTTATGAACTCTTAAAAACCATCTACAATGTCATGTATGTGGGAATTGATTTGTAAGTGATCAACTGCTGCTCAGTAATCAACTGCTGCTGAGTGCCTACAAAATTCCTACAAAACATGTGCGATTTCGACGTTTCGTTTTTGCTCTCTTATCGGGGCATGTCTGACGTCCAGAGCCAGTGGGATGTCAAAGCAAACGGATGTCAAAGCTAAGGGATGTCAAAGCAAAGGAATGTCAAAGCAATGGGACGTCACAGCAAAAGGATGTCACAGCAAATGGGTTCCAAAACAATGGGATGTCAAAGTAGTGGGATGCCACAGCCAAGGGATGTCAAAGCAGTGGGATGCCAAAGCAGTGGGGTGTCACAGCAAAAGGATGCCAAAACAAAGGGATGTCAAGGCAAAGGATGTCAAAGCAAAGGGGTGTCAAAGCAAAGGGATGTCAAAGCAGTGGGATGCCACAACCAAAAGACGTCAAAGCAGGGGGATGCCAAAGCAGTGGGGTGTCACAGCAAAGGGATGTCAAGGCACAGGGATGTCAGGGCAAAGGGCCAAAGCAATGGGATGTGACAGCAATGGGTTGTCACAGCACATGGATGCCACGTCACTTTTTAAGAGAAGTCTCACACAAAAATTTCGTTTTCACATGTTCCACTTTCAGTTTTTGAAGTAAGTCTCGCACGAAAGTTTCGTTTTCGCATTTCCACTTCACTTTGTAAGGGAAGTCTCACACCAAGGCTGGGTTTTCACATCTTCAACTTTGCGAACTTTTCTGGAACCGAAAGCGCCTCAGAGTACAACCTGAAATGCACTACTCGATTTGTGCAATGTCATCTGCACAGCAACACAACTGATGTGTATATGTACATGAACCCAAATGCGGAGGTATCTTTCACCCCGCCTTGGAACCTAAATGTTTTAGGATTCCACTATGGCTCTAGCTCCGCAGGTCAGTTGTGTGACCTTCAGCTCTCAATTTTTGGAGCATTTCTAAGGGTGAAGACTGTTTTGCTTAAACTACTGGCACTGGAGCCACATGATGGGTCTCATCCCCACCAAGCGACACGCTTCTGTGGCTTTTTTTTGTCCGAGCCCGTTGCCTTTCGGCAGGTCTACGGTCTTGAGTCTTGCTCGCGGACCAGCGGGGAATCGAACCACCACCGGCAGTCTGTCAGCGACACAAGAGTGCCGCGATACCAACTGCACCACGAGGACGACTAAGCGACACGCTTCTGTGGCGCCTGCTTCGTTGCTGCCCCTCAGAATTCTTGGAGTCCTGTGTCATTATCGGATTGTTGCTCCTCCTCACGACTTCTTGGTCCATAGTGAACATCAGCCCAAAAGTCTGGATCTGAAGCTTCTGATTGTCCACAGCTCATGTAGCGCTGTGCTTTCTGTCCTGGAGTCTCTTCTGCCATACTCGCATCAGACTTGGAACTTTTGGCTTTACTTCTCGAAGCGCGCCACCAAGTTGCCAATCAGCTTTGTCGATCTTGTCGTGTAAGGTTCATCATGGCTCTGAAAGCCTTGTCAGTGCCTTTCGGCGTCTACGGTCTTGCTCGCGGACCACCACCACCGGCAATCTGTCAGCGACACAAGAGTGCCGCGATACCAACTGCACCACGAGGACGACTCTCCAAGTCCATAACAAGGGGACTCGTCATCCTCACTGAGATTGCAGGTGTCTGCAATCGTACTTCATGTCCTCGGTGGACTCGTATACCTGATTGTTGCAATTAATTCGTGTCATGCATTTGTATTGATGCATTTGTAAAGCTAAGGGGCGAGCACAAAATGCCCAGCTATACCACAATGGTCCAGCACTTCCTGGGAACACTGCAGCTGCCAATGGCAATCTACATACTTGATTACTACCTGCCGATGCTCAGTCCCAATGATGGCTATAACGAAACAGGCATTACCATGCAAAGTGTGAAAAACGTAAACCCAAGTACACCTCTCGTGTACCCAAATCGACGCTTTCATAAAATCACTACGCCAGACGCAAACACCTACTGTGGTTGCGACTCCGCAGTTACTTACTTCTCTGTAATGTCAAATAAAGGAACTTGTTCCACCCCGACTCCTAAGTGCACGTCAGACTCCTTCTTTTCTCTCCAGACGCCACACACAACGGAACAGGTCAACAAGAACCAGGGCAGGCACACGGCCACAGCCCACAAACAAAGAAAGAAGCAAGATGTTCCAGTGTGGCTACTGTTTCAAGTGCCCTAGGTGACACTGCAGTTCAGTTCTCTTCGGAACATTTGACACCACTCCCTTGAGCCGATGTCTCAACTGGGAAACTCGATTCCAGGTTTCCAATACACAACCTTCCTTCAAAGGTTGTTGAAACAATTCCAAACTGCTATGATATACAAATCACCTAGTCACAAAAACGTCAGAAACATTTCCAAAAGTTCTCAAGTCAAACTGGTTCTCGTCCAAACGCAAATAACCAGCTAGCCGGTGTTACTAGTCTCTACCAAACGTCTAGACTAGTTACACGGCTATTCAAGAACGAAATGATTCATTCAAATTCCTTTACAAAATCCTCTTGCAATACAGAACAACATGGAACCTCCTGTTCCATCTCCAAAACAGTTCTTCGCACAGAGACATCTTCTCATAGCTCCAAACTACCGTGGAGAACAGAATGTTCTGCTCGACTTCTCAGCTAATATCCAGTCATCAGCAGTCATAGCGCTAAAGTAGTTCGCTCACCACAATAACCAAACGTCAGCAATAAGTCACAAAGACAAAGGTCGCAAAGCAGACTTCCAGATCAAATACCCAGAGGTTGACTACTATACGTAGGCATTGTCTTCTCAATGCCGAAGTATCAGACTTCCAGATCAAATACCTAGATGTCGAATACTATACGTAGGCATTGTCCTCACAATGCCGAAGTATCTCACATACTCGCAAGAGGTAGTCAAAGGACTTCACCAACATCTCAGTGTTTGAAGCAACGCCAAGAATCGAAACGGATATTCCAATACCATCTCCGTCAGATCCACACTCCCACAAGGAGTCAAGGAATCTCTGAGATCGATGAAACCGCATCATCCCGACTCATCTGTCTAGCGAATGCTTCTGAAAGCATTCGTCCACTGTCATAAAGCAAAATAACGCTTCAAACTGTATTCAAAGGAGAATCAAGCTCCAAGTAGATTCACTTAGACTCACTGGTCGATATCTCAGATCAGCTCATGCAGCTTCTCATACCACAAAGCAATATTGAAACTACTTATGTCTGATGCAGACACCTTCCCATAGTCCAGTTTCACCACTGAAGGCTCAATGAAAGTCAGGTCGCACCAATGCCAAGTTGCACCCACAAGGGTTCAAACTTCCACACCCCCTTTCGACATGACATTCATTTCTCTCTCTATACCCACTCAAATTCATATCCAGTATGAACTTCGCCATATTGTCAAAGTCAAATGTGTGGAATACATCGTATTTGCCAAGAGGCTTCGATATTCCAATCACCTGACCGAAAAATGAAGTCTAAACTCCTCTGAAACATTCGAAGTTTCCAAAAAAATGTAACTGTCTTTGAGAAATCACCTGATTCTCAAAGAAATATACGGTTGTTCCTCCAACCCTTCGCTCATCAAAATAAACAGTCCATCCATATCCACGACCATCGTCAGCGCTGATGTCAGCAATACTCCATAGATGTCTCCATGGGCACAGCTCCCATCCATCCTTAACCAGTCAACATCACCAAGCTCAGAATCCATCGACTGATCAAAGAGACCATGGCGTCAATTCACGATCAACTACAGTGCTGTTTGTGGTTCCCTAGAACAGACGGAAACAAAACAAAACACCAACAACACACACACGAGATCCAAGACGAAGACAGACGAAGCACTGTCGGAGTCAACACAAAAACAAAGGCCGACTGTTTCAGCTAATCCACGTCTTCCTTTGGAAGATAGGCGTGTCAGACAAGCGAAACTGTCATCAGTCCAGAATACTCAGATAAAATCCACATTCGTGGTGTCACTAGTC